AAAAAAAAAAAAAAAAAAAAAAAAAAAAAAAAAAAAAAAAAAAAAAAAAAAAAAAAAAAAAAACATGTGAAAGTGAAAAGTGTACAGGAAAAATAAGGGGCAGCCCCATAAGCCCCTAGTACATTTTTACTTTCTTTAAATTTGATTACATTAATCACTATTGAACTGCAGGAAATGGGTGATGAGTGAAATCGTTTTCATGCAACCTTGGGAGTCCCGTTTCCATCGGTGATATTTTTAGGGTGCAAAGGTCAGGGAAAACCTCATGAATTTTTTCAGTAACTTTTTGCTACATAGCAAGTGCCATAAGAACTGAATCCTTTTGTGAGGAATCCTCTTGAGAAGAATTTGTGCGCTAGTTGAACTTGAAAGGATCTAAATTTTAACACATATCTGCTCTAAATTTTTGGCTGGGTGTCATAATTATCGCTGTTCATGCAAAATTTTACTTTCTGTTATGCCTGAAATCAGAAGTTTTAACACTTTGAAGTGTGTTATCACTTTGATTTTATTGTGTTTTAATTGATTTTGTCTCTTCGTGCTAATGAAATCTCGAATATTACTCTCCTGCAGATGAACCAAGAATCAAGCAGTACTCTAAAGATGCCCTTGAAGCCCTCCGATCGTCGAACATCTCTTCAGAACCACCGCAGAACTGGGAGAGAATTGCAGAGGAGTTCCCATCAATCGTTAAAACGGTAAAACGTTACAATCGAGGAATTAGTGATCCTGGTATGCGGTTTGATATGCATGCCCCTCTGAATCACAGAGCCTCCCTTCGTTGAAGCAGAGAGCGTTTTTTCTTTCTTTTTTCACTTGATGGTTTTGTGAGCTCACTAATATAGTATTCATGCATTTCATTAATTCAGTGCCAAGTATAATAGACCCTTTCAATTATCCATCTTGTAACTGCTTGTGTACTATCCTCTTGCTTCAAATGAAAATGTATATGACTATAACTGTTAATGCGTGATGTATGAAGAGATCGCATCCTGAATTTCATAACTGCTCCTGCAACTTCATTCCCCTTTAAAAAAAAAGTTTTATCTCAACTGTGGTGTGTTTAATGTGAAAATCAAGTTTTTATTAAATAACATATTTTTCTAATTTTTTTCATGTAACTCAAAATTACATGCTTGACTGATTCATTCGTGATATTTAAAATGAGATATTATTAATTTTGATTTTCAAAGCTTTATTTAATTTAAAACAAATATGCTTTTAGCCCTCTAATTTACCGAGTTAGCATGCAGTAATTGAGAATTTTAAAAAAAAGAGTAAAAAAAGTCTAAAATGCAGTTAATGCTTTTTTATTCTAAGTTCTAAATGCTCATCATGGATTTTATGGTCCATCATTACTCAGAAGTATAATGTTCTCTTTAATTTTGCATGTATATTATGATGAGTATGTCTCAGTAATACATCATACATACTTTCACTTTCTTCAATTAAACAACTTTGACTACTCATGTACTAGGAATATATACTCCCCCTTTTTTTTCTTATTGAACTATTCTTTGTTTTGTGCAAATAACTTTGTCTTATCTCTTTAAAACCCCGCAATAACACATGAAATCTACTTCACTGTGTACTGTTAGTGATGTTTCATTGTTGAATTTGAAATCATTGAAATTTTCAAACTACTTTTTCTGTAATTGGATACTTAACCTATTTTCACACTAGCAATAAGTTTATACACCGAGCTTTTAAAATGACCTTTGCTACTCTACAACTCAGTAATGTATGTTTTTCATACTAACTTACTTCCAACTTTTTTACCCTCTGTTCAAAAGTATTATCTTGGAGGCTAAGAAATATTCATTTGTTTGACTTACTGTCTGTAGAAATACTTAAACAATGAAGTCCCTCCAAAATGAAAGTTTTGACTCAATAATAACTTGTTTCTAAAAAATATCTCTAGAACAGTATATATCTCTAATTTAAGTGTTAAAACAAGTGAAATGATGTAATAGAAAAAGATTTCCCAGACCAACTTAATTACCCCTGCGACTCTACTTTAAAGAAGTAGTACCATAGGAATGTGCCTATTGTAAATTCTTAATTTATTTTTATTTTATGTAACATTATATTGGTTTTTTTTTGTAAGAAATAAGTAAATTGCCAGCGTAATTCCACCTTGCAACTGACAGCCTTCTAAATGATTTTGAATTACCATACATAATCGTTAATCAGTAAACATCCATACTTTAGCTGTCAGTATTTTCTCTTTTTCATGGACAGAGAAAAGATAGTTTAAAATCTGAAGATCCTTTTCTTGAAAGAGAAGTCTCAACCACCATGACTGTAGCGAGTATTTCTGGTATGAATTGATACGGTCATTCTCAAAAATACTGAAGAGCCAGAAATGAAAAGAAAAAAAGAAAGGAAAGCGGGAAAAACTATAAATTGACCCATTTTAAATCTCAGATTAATTAATAGCTTTAATATTTAAGAGATCTGAGAGTTAGACTGGATCAATTTAAACGGTTTTGACTATTTTCTTTGATTTATTTTAATTCTTGGTGCTTGATTCTTCTAGAGAATGACAGATTCAATGATTTTTTGATGATGTGGTTAAATGTAGCATAATGAGCCCGGATTAGTAATAGCTAAGTTTTTTACCAACTTGCAGACTTTCCCCCCCCCCCCATTTCAGACCTTAATTATACCAGAAAGAATTTCCGAGTAATTCACTTAGAAGGCTTGAGTACAAAAATGGCTGTGTTGTACGGGAGCTCAGTGAAGGATGATTCCTCCCACAGTTGTTCTACCTTGTTGAGAGCGGTTAATTTAACTTATTTGCGACGCTCGGGTGGAAAAATCTAATTTTTCCCCTCTTTTTGTAATTACCTACCATTTTGTTTGTGTTGAGTTTTTTTTTTCTTTTTTTCTTTCATTCTTATTTTCCGTTAATGTTTTCCCTATTAACAATTGAATTGCGACTGATTGTTTTCTACTTCAATTTTCTCCATCATTATTTTGTATATTTGTATTTTTGTAATGTTACAAGTATCGCATTTCTCTTATTAAACGTGTCCTGTGTTATGAATTAATTTTTTTTTTTATTTTTTTCACTGCCCAGAGCTTAAAATAAAAGAATGAACCCTCCTTCTTGTGGTCTGCCACAATCAAATAATTTTCTCTTTTTTGTGTGTTGATTGAAATTAACAGCTCCTCCCTGCAAACCTTGACTCACAATCAGTACTAATAAACAGTGTCGCCGCAGATAAGAGGAAAACAGGGAAACTTCAATAAATTTTAAAAAATGACAGAAGTGTCAATGAAAAATTGATCAATCACCTTTATTTCCCTGTCTCAATCAGATTTGACATTTCAAACCATAAATTTTGCCGGAAAAATATTTCAAATTATGTCTTTTTAACCATGTGACATATCTTCAATGGTTAGAAAATATCTTCAAAATGTGTCAGGGAAATGTCATGAAACTTAATTTCCTAAATCCTGTGGCAACCCTGAAGTCAGTACCAATAACACTTAATCTCAGTGTCTTACCTAATCTTTCCTCGCGTTTACTTTGCAAAAATGTTTGTTTTTGCAGCAGAAATTTTGTTTGAATCTTGCTCAAATCAATGCTCCAATGCTGCACAATTCCTACAAATTTAAAATTTTTCTATCTAGCTTCTAACTAGGCTTTCAAACCCCTAGTTGTTTCCAAACTTACTGTATTACTCTAAAATCAAAGGTAAATTTTGAAAATTCCTACTTCAATGTTTGAAATTCTCCCATTAGGTGCAATTTATTTTGCTAAAAAAATCTCATTGCGGAATTCTGTACAAACATCATCAAATGAGTGAAAAAATTTCTCAGAAAATTATCAAAGAAACTGTTTTTTAGGTTCTCCTAAAGAAAATAAAACGCCAGTGAGGACTTTCTGAGCCACCTACGCTTATCAACTTCAACTCTAAGTAGCATTTTACAACAAAGAGATTGAAATAGAATCCCAATTTTTTTTTTGATAAGTAATTACTTATCAGTCAATTAATGCTGATTGGAATCGAATAACAAACGAAATATATACAGGCAATTTCTAATGCAAGAAAAAAGTGGCAACTTATTTCTTTTGCAACCAAAGATGACCCGTGCAGCATTGATGCCGGGAACGAAATCAGGGCCGGATTAAGGGGATGGCCACATGGGCCGCGGCCCATGGCGGCAAAATGTAGGGGGCAAATTTTGCAAACTGTTTGAATGTAGGTACCAAAAAAAGGAGAAGGAAAAATCGGATTCAGAAAATAAATTACAAACGAGAATAGGCGACAAAATCTCTCATTTCCTGAGGGTATAGTAATTTCTAATTTTTTCGTCTTTCGGTGATACAAGAGACAACTCCTTTAATTAGTCAAGTTAAGAGAGAAACCGAACACGCACTTTGACCTTGAGCGGAGCGGCGCAGAGAGCATTGATGACGAGGACGTGAGATAAAAAGGAGAAGCCCTCGGCGCGGTGGTCGGCATGTAACACATATTAGCGCCTACAAGACTGCATGAATACTTCACGCATTGCGTCAAACACACTGCAGTCAGCAGCAGTCGGCTTGAAACGCATAGCGCCTACAAGACTGCATGAATACTTCACGCATTGCGCCGAACACAGTGCGGTCGGCGCAACTGCGGAAGTTAAAATTATTAAACCACATTTATGTTTGTTGTTTCATAAGTTTTTCGTTCGTTAGTTTTAAATGGAAGGCCTCGCCCAAACAGGGTTGGGTTTACGGAACTTTACTTTCGCGTATAAAGTTCCGTGAGCTTTTGTTACCGTTGACAGGGCTCTCTCAAAAAATGTGCCCAACACGAGTAAACGCGTCTCATACCGCCGTGCAACGCAAAAACGCCGTTTTAAATTTTTTGGAAACAATGTATCATAGCAGAAGAACTTGGGCACGTTGAGACAATCTTTTTACAGAATTCTTTTGCAGATTCTGTCAAAAAATTAACCTGAAAATTTGAGGTGCATGGGTAAAATAGTTTTTATCTTATAAAGTGTTAAGTTTCAAAAAATGCGGGGAAATCTTGATGGATTTACGGCGTTTTTGCTTAGCATGGCAGCATGCATACCCCTCCCCAACCGTCACGTTCACTTAACGAATGAGAATAAGGGGACGGAAAAAGACAGGCGGCCCATTGGCGGCAATAAGTAGGTAAATCCGGCCCTGAACGAAATAGTTATTACCACAGAAGTAAAATTGCAACCAAGACTAGAAAACCACGTAGAACCATTCTCGTAGGCAACGGTAGGACCTTGAGGGAGCTACGCAGGAAGGTTTTTATGAGTATTGAAAGAGCATCAGTAACTATTTTTGGTTCCTACGGGCGAATTCTATCACAAAAGAGTAACAAATCATCGGTGTTTCACGCAGGAACAAGTTCAGGTCATCTGAAAAATATTAAAAAAACATTCAGTTATCCTCTGCATACTGAACCAATGAGTAAAGAGTGATTTATTAGTACCTACTCAGATTTTGTGCATTTAAATTTCTCCTTCGATATAAGAAAATAGGCAACTAGAGACCACACTTTTAAGGGGAGAGAATAAAATACGTTTTTGGAAACCACTGATCTGTCAATTTCGATCACGACATGCTCCACTTGCGGGAACCATCGACGGGACTTAGTACTTTGTCCGACCGAATTCTCAATATTTAGTTCCTTGTTCCTGTTTTGGGTGCTTCACTACTTTATTCCTTGCCCGAGTTTCAAGTGGAAACCGCATGGCTTTCATCATCTACGAAAAAAAGATACCTAAATCACAAATCTAATCCCGGAGACATTTGTTGAAGAGAAAGGGGAACTGCTCTCTCTTGTATCCGCGCGTTCAAGTCCCCAGGCTTTCAATTCATTTTGTACGTGTGTTATACGGTTATTTTCAATTCGCCTTCAACTACGTCTACAGCAATTGTTGTTGCGAATATGTTGTGCGTATGCTGATCTCAGGTCATTACATACTTGACTCTCTAAAGGCGTTTAACGTGCGAAAGTAGAGCATCCTGTTGGAGAACAACAGAAGAATATATTGTCCGAATATATTGATCGATTGAATCGCTCAATCCCTAATTCGTTCGTTCTCCGACAGATGGCGTTACTTGCGCACATAAAACGCCTTCAGAGAAACGAGCATGTAATGGACTTAAATCAGTACGCAGAACGAATTCGGAACAACAATTGCTGCAGACGCAACTGAAGGCGAATTGCTCTCACACATAAAACGCCTTCAGAGAGTCAAGTATGTAATGAGCTGAGATTAGCACGCACAACTCATCCGCAATAACAATTGCTGCAGACGCAGCAGAGGGCGAATTGTTCAGTTGAAGAAAAGAGCATGATAGGAAGTCTGCATGCAACGAGAGGGTATGGATTCGATCGACACGAATCAAACGAAAAATGAAAACGTGAACCGATCAACGCAGATTCAATGACGACCAATAAATGAAAAAGCAACCTTGCATTTACCATGAAAATTTCAATTAGCGACATTCCGAAATTAGGATCAGCCAAGATTTTGATTTTTCGCGATTTTAAAGTCCACCCGTACCATAGACTCAGCCCCTGCAAACCGTTTTTGGGTGCGTTTTTTCGCACATTTTTTAGACCACAGTGACCGAAGTTTATTTCTCTCCCAGAAATTTCAGAGTGACCTGCAGCTCGATAGATTTGTTTACAATTTAGCACCTATCTGCAAGTATTGAGCAACATTTTAGGTAGTGATTTTTATCTAAACCATCAACTCAGATAAATTTCAAACATTTCTTTTTCCTCTAGAAAAAATTTTTTTTCGGAAGATCATGTTAACGGCAAGCTTTTACTCATGCAATCAGTAACTTTTTCATGCTGTGAACATATCTGTTAAAAAATTGTACATCTTTTACGAGCGTACTTGGTTACACATGTTAAGTGCTTTATTTTGCCTCATTAACCGTTTACTAAAGAGAAAACGAGAGAACTTTGGGAATTTTTTACTTTAAGTAGTTACACCGTCAATTTTCAGGGTGTCCCACGATTAAACCGTCTCACTATACGAAAAAGTTCAATGGATCAAAGTCAGAATTTTTTCTTCTACTTGTTTCAGAAGAGCCTCTAGTTGGAGATATACCTCTCCTTCAATTGAAAATTATAAGACATGATAATTTTAATGCATTTTAGTCCATTTAGCCGTTTCCGAAATTCAGAAAATACTGTAATTTCCCTAGGAATTTTGAATCGGAGGCGTAACTCCACCTGGGAACGCGTTTACTCGGCGGTTTCACTCAGCACGGTAGTATTCTTGGCATCATTCTCTCTCCGCAAATACCAAATGAATAACATTGCAAATGTTTTTTTGTTTTTTTTTTAAACAACTTTTTCTTAATTTTTTTTTATTAACACTTTAATTTTATACAATTTTCACAACTAATGTACTTGACCTGCAGTATCTACTAACTATATATCGACGGTGAAACTACCAAACCACGTATCTCGGTTTGCGACGTCGCAGACTTCCTGTGATACTTTATTTTTTAAATGAAAATTTCTGTGATTTTTCCTCTTCGTGCGGAAAAAATTCTGTGAAAATTTCAAGGAATGATATTGATTTGGTCTACTTCAAAAAAATAAAATGTGAGCGTAGATTTTTAAACACCGCAAACGAGATACGTGGTTTGGTAGTTTCACCGTCGATATGTTTAAGTTTATATACATGATGTAACTTAACGAAAATGTTTGCTGATTTCAGAGAGGCACCGTCTCCTTACCGACGACACCCACCGCCGGTAACTTCTCACCCAGCGGGCTCTTCGCTTGCTCGTCCGTGCCCACCACACCCCCGGCGTACAACACAGCCGGTGCACCGACCGGACCCGTCGCGCTGCCAGTCACTCGTCCAGCGGTCACGACGACTGATCCTCCCCAACCACGTCCTCCACGTACGGTCAGTCCAGCCTCTGCGAGTCCACTCGTGCCGCATCCAGCACGTGCAGCGCCCGAAGTCATCTCAGGAGTGGTCACTGCCGGGGTCTCTCCAACAATATCAACCTATGTGTCAACTGACATTGTATCGACTGCATCCTATAGAACCCGTGAATCTGCGCTGCCTCCGGCAATGTCAACCACTGTCACGAACGAGTCAACTGACAGTGTATTGACCGCATCCAATAGGACACGTGAATCTCCAGTGACTCCATCAATCCGGGCTGCAGCCTCGAGAGGGCCGACTGACGGTGTAACAACTTCATCCGATAGAACACGTGAATCTGCGGTCCCTCCGGCAATGTCAACCACAGCCACGAACGAGTCAACTGACAGTGCATTGACCACATCCAATAGGACACGTGAATCTGCGGTAACTCCAGCAAATACAACCTCGGCTGTAAAAGGAGCGAATCCCAGTGTAATAACTGAATTTGATAGGACACGTGAATCTTCAGCTACTTTGACCTCACCGAAGAAAGTGTCAACCGATGATGTCTCCACTAGAACACGGGAATCTGCAATTACTCCAGCAATTTCAACCTCAGCCGTGAAATTGTCAACTGCCGGCGTGTCGACCGCGCCCGCCAGGTCACTTGAGTCTGCACAGGCTCCGATTCTCGGAGGGATAGCTCCAAGTAAACCTGTCACACTCTCAGTATCTCCTGAATTGGGTTCCGCCTCTAATCCACCTACTTCTACCATGGCTAATGTATCAAACCTACCTGTAACACACAGTTCTTCTGTAACTTCGACGACCAATCCATCTGTCACACAACTTGTGCCACGTGGTTCCAGCTCTGAGAGCAGACCAATGGCGCCCGCTCCTGAATCTGGTGACCCTAGGGTGCCCTCCACAACTGTCTCCGGGACGGTGACCTCGTCAAATCCAACTGCAGCTTCGTCAGTGTCTCTTGTAACGAGAGCGCGGGATGTTACTTCGACGGTTGCGGGTGCAAAGGATCCTGGCGCCGAAAGGAAGTCCGAAACTGATTCTGTCACTGCTGCACCCACAGGCGTAAAAGGTAATCCTTCGGGTGATACTGAGAAAATCATCAGCGGATCCAAAACGCCGAAGTAATTTTTGTATCGTCTTCCCAAGTAGCATTTTTTAACGGGAAAATCGCGATATTTTAAGATGAAGTTGCGATTTTTTCACGATTTTCTGGCGATAAAATCGCCAGGATTATCAACATCTGACCGATTATAGTCAACATTGTCGCAATTTTATCCCTGTAAAATCGTGATGTTTTCTCACTTTATCGCGATTTTTAGTTCGATAATATTGCGACGAATCGCCGTCAATAAAATCGCAATTTTATTGCAAATTTATGCAATGAAATCGCAATTTATCGCAATTTTTTGTCAGATTCTTTCACAATAAATCGACGCCGATACAACCGCTATACATCCTCCCATCAAATCGCACCTAATCGTGATACTGCTACTTGGGTCAAAGCTTAAACTGATCGATCTCTGGTTTTAATTCGATTGATTGCAGTTATGTTAATCTTCACTCACCTCTACACGTAGACCATTGCTTCCGCTTAGTGATCAGCACGCGAGGCTTATTCTCTTCAAACCCACTTTAATTTTTCCATTAAATACTCGTTTTCATCCAGAAGTGAGGGCTCATCAATTTTCCCTCGTTTTCATATTTTGTACTTTTATGATATTTAATAGTCAATTACTCATCATATTAAATTCAATGTTTCATTCTCTATCTGGACTCCTTTATTCTATGAAATGTTCAACACTTGTTTTCAACCTCGGCAATTTTATTGATGATTAAAATTGAAAAAGATGCATATCTTCAGCGATATTTCAGAATCTGCTTGGTGAATCTGTTTGATTCAGTTTTGCTGCATCAGTCATCCTCTGAAAGCTCTATGAGTTCCATTAAATTATGTTAGCATACGTTTTTGTAAGGCACCATTTCGTTGGGGATGACCATTGGCCTACGATACACATTTCATTTTCATCAAACATTCCATTCTTTAAACGGGTAAAAATCAGACTAAATTTAGGAAGAAATTACAATACAATTCATGACATATTTTAGGTACCATCTATTCCATTTAATAAGGGAGAGACTTCTATTCATCCGTTTTTTCCACAAGACTACGAGACCAAAAGAACCAAACTATATAGGTATTGTATTTGTTATGTCAATTATCCTTGGAAATAACTTTGTGATAATGAAAGTAGGAACGTATTGTATGCAGATACAGAAGTCAGATGCGCACCAGCGCACCATAGAGTCTCAAAAATTAGCATTATGCAGGACCGTCTGACATATATTTGCCAGAGTAGGCACCCTTAACGAGAATTATTTTGTAATAATTTCTGAACCTACAGACATCTATGTTGCGTTGTATTCTACAACTTAAAAAGTGAGTAGGACCTCAGAAGGGGGGGGGGCTGGATTGAACTACAGAATTTGCCGTTCAGAGAGTCTAAAATGACAACAGCTCTCAAAAAAAAAAAAAAAAAAAAAAAAAAAAAAAAAAAAAAAAACTCATTCTTATATCAATTTTGAAAAAAGGGAGTAAATAGCCACAATACCCGGGTATTCTGCGATGGGAAATTTTGCACCGAATTTATCGGATTTTAAGTGGAGTAGTGCTCACTTAATGTGACGCATTATTTTGAGACGTTGTCGCGTTTGGGAAATCGAGGTCAAGAGGTCAATTATTGATGGAGATGCACGGGAAGGGCCATTGATGAGACCCAAAGCTCACGCGCATGCACCAAAGCGCCACGCCATTTCAGCACTGTTGCCAAATTTCTTGAGAGTGATGTATACATACTTTTCATCCAATGGGTTGTGAAATTTCACCCGGAAATAAATGGAGCTGGAGTATATCAGAATTTTAGAGTCCTTTTCTGCCATCCACGGGAAAAATTTTACTCTAATTCTTCACTGTTTTAAAAAGAAGCTATATTGAAATATTGATGATCAGGGATTAATTTATTTTTAGAATGACTGTGTCATTCCATAAAGAAGTCTTGCATGGTAACAAATTATGAAAATTATTCACAGATAATATTTTAAAATCCGGAGTGGAGATATGAGTCCTTGCAAAATGAAAACAGTAATTTTGACTCTGCTTCAAAATTTCGAAAGATTATATTTTCGGCACGAAAATTTCTCATCAATCGATCCCCAGACTGGAATTGGGGTACTTGGCAGACAAGGAACATAAGTGCAGTTTTTGCTATTTCGAGAAATACGTGTTTGAAGTTTCGAAATTACATGGATCCTTATGGCGGAGAGAAAGTTCAAACTGACTTTTTGACGCTTGAAAATTAGAATTTGAGAGCGAATTTTTCACAAAACATGCATCTAGACTAGGTTTACTTGAAATCATTCATATCTAAATTTATCAAAAACCGCACTTTTGCGCCTCGTCCTCCAAATCCCTCAATTTCGATTTTCTGAAAATAATCCTATCAAATGATTAAAACTTCAAATACATTGCTCGTACTTAAAATGAATTGTGCAAACCTGGATATCCACATTGACACTAAATCCGCTTACTTTTTCTCACCTTTCCATTTCGAAGCGGCAACTCCGGAGTGGACTTGCTGTTCATTCATCTCTGTCGGCGTGCATCTGTGTGGAGGTGGAGTGTGGTGTCGAGGCAGAAGAGTGACTGGTGACTAGTCGCCGGTGACTGGTGACCCACAATTAAGCTGTTGTGCTCACTTGTTCCAGCTTGAGTTGAGTTGAGGAGTGCGCTGCTGTGCTATGGAAAAACGCCGTATAAACACTCGAGAGATGCCAAATTTCCTCGGATAAAACATCTATTTTATTGGAATTGTTTCTCATACTTTCCCTTACGATTTTTTGATATTTTAGATTAAATTGCGAACAAAACTGTCCAAAACTGGACCGCGTTACGCAGAAAGGAACCAAGCCACATCACCCACTGCCAAATGCATTTGGGCAATTAATTTTTTTTTACCTGAAAACGGATGTGCGGATTTTTGTACAAATTTCAGTGCATTTTCTGCATAGTACGCAGCAAATTCCCTAAAATTTTCAAAGGAATTCACACAAACGTTATCTTGTAAAAAATTAAATCGCCCGGTTAAATTTGGCAATAGCTGACGTGCTGACGGTTCCAGTTTGCTTAACACGCTCCAAATATTAGAAGAAAAATTATCAAAACTTCCCAATATGCCGTGCCAAGGAAGAACACCTTATGAACATTTGAGAGTTGCCAAATTTCTTTTGATAAAACATGTTTATTTTCAACAACATTCATGCATATTTTTCCTCGAAATTTTTAGATAAATTAGATTAAATTGCGGACAAATTCGTCTGAAAATTTTGGAGAATAATATTCTCAATTTTCCCAGTAAATTCGGTTTTTATCGGAGGAAACTTGGCAACGTCTTAAGGCTCATACGGCGTTCTTCCTTAGCTTGGCAGAATAAATGCGTATTTTGTTGTAGGAAAGTTGGCAACGCCTGCAGGTTCATACTACGTTTTTACTTAGCGCGGCGGAGTACGAACAGGGACGTAACCGAACTTAAAGATTCGGACTGGGGACGAGGAAGAGGCTAACTCTGTGCTTCGCTCTGTGACTTAGAGTAATAAGTGCCCGATGCACATTCTACATTCTGCAAGAACCGTGTAACTCTAATTTAAAGCACTAGCACTTACGCGGTTTGTCCGTTGTTCGGGAACAATGCTAGGCGTGCCGCCTCCCTCTCCCCACGCAACTGGTCACGGGAGTATGCTAATGTCGCCCCACTTGCTCCACCGTTCTATACTACTTCCGCCAAAATTACTCATTAACCCTCTTCTCTTTCCGTTAACTAATATCCACCGAGCATTGCTAATCCTAGATTTGCATGGGTTGCCAGCCCGATGAAGAGTCGATTGTGGGATACTTGAAATCCGTACGGTCGTGCCGCGGAGAAATGTCGTATGAACACTCGAGAGTTGCCAAATTTCCTCGGATGAAACATTCACTTTTGAGGATAGTTTTTCATATTTTTCCTTACAATTCTTGGATTGAATTGGGAACGAAATGGAGATTTTGCACGTGTGAGGAATTTGCGATTTGACTAATGATTATTACGTAAAAGTTCGCGAGAAACACGATGATGCCACTGGTTTTCTCTGAAAGCGACTCCCATGCTCAAAAAAAGCTCTCAAGTTGAGGTCAAAATGGAGGGGATATCCCACGCTATCCTCGAGTTGCGAGTAAACGAGTAGGCAACACGTTTACCAGTCAACACGCGAGATAAGTTCCGGAAATGGTCAACAGATACCCCCCCCCCCCCCGGGAAATGTCTTTCCCCGAAAGCCTACTTTTCATGAACAATGTGCTTTTTCTCAGGAGAGCAGCATAGGCGTCTATCGAAATACATAATAAAGTATTGCCAGCGTTTCTCTGCATTTCATACGATACTATTCCGTTTTGTCTTTTTTCCTTACCTGGCGTTAAAGTCTCCGAAAATACACTCGGAGCATTTTAATTAAAGGGAAGCGTTGCTTAATTTTACCGCATTATCTCTGACTCGTGAATGAAAGCGTATACCTGAATAGGGGCACTAATGGCACATACATTGTTTTTAAATTGCCAGAAACCGTAAGTTGCTTTATCGCAAAATTTAGTGCAATTATATCATGGCTGAAGCGTTCAGAGGCCATTGCTCACGGATGCATTCTGAAGTTCCCAGATTTGGTCTACAATTTCTCCATTTAAAAATTGTCGTTTAATATATGAGATTTGACCAAAATGGTATTTGGTTTCAAGACTGGGTGTATACGCCTAACTATGTAACTTGAGTAAAGTTCGCGATGGTACAAACAGATAAAGCCTCATATTTGGTCAAATTGAATCAACTGCATGCAAAGGCCGCCATTTTTTGGCTCCTTAGAAATCTATAAACCTTGAAATTGCCGAACCAACCAAAACTGGATCCACCCGGATCAAAATTCTCCCTGTAAAGGTTCTCCACAGATTCCTGGTTATAGAAACCCGGCAGATACATGCCGTAGTCTGAAGATAGGAAGAGTACATCGACTGGCTGTCAGCCAGTCGATGTAAGGAGCTTTCAGGGCCCAAAAGAGCGGAAAATCTTCGAAAACAAAAAATGTTATTGCCAATCTTCAGATTCCAATATCAAACCAAAATAGCCGAGAATGATCATAAATGAACGCTTTCCTCCGGGAAAATGAGTCAATTTATGCAAGATCTAAGTAAAATTCGTGCTTTACCGACGACTGGTCGTAACAACTGGATCGCATTTAGCAAAAAGGAACCAGCGCGGTTACAGTGTTTTCAAAATCGTGGAACTTCCTCTTTTTTCTCAAAAATACCTAATTTATGCACAGTATAAAAATTTGCACCATAATTTACCTTTGAAATTAACAATTTTTTATAGTTGGAAGCAATACCTATTTGCTGTACTAAGAGATTTTGTGGAAAGTTATGAAGGAGCAACATTTTTACAACACTGTAATCGCTCTCGCTCCTTTTTGCTAAATGCGATCCAACTGTAATAATGAATCACTGTGGATAATTTGAATTCATAGATTGGCTGCCCTTTTGGGCCCTAAGAGCTCCATCATCTTACCTCAAAATTATTGACTTGTTCGTACTCTCCCCCCGCACATAGGTACTCTAGTCTGAAGAAATGACAGGCAACAGGAAACGAGGATTTCTGATAATTTTTACTACCCATCGAAATTGATCAGTTAAG